CTGCCTCCACATAACAAGATATCCCTCTGCTCTTTGATTCCCAGCCATGGGAATCTCATCACATTAGGCAGAGCCTTAACCAAGAGAGCCCTCACACAGTTACACAAGAGTGTCAGGGCACTAATCCACACCATCATTTTACATTGTGGCACCAGGGCAGAATAACTGCGTGTTACACAGCAACATAAAGATGGCACAGGAAGTAAGAAAGCTCACTCTTTACTATCTGCTTCTATGTGTCACAACATTATTTAATGTGTGAACAGCTTTGGGAATTTGAGTCCTCCCACCACACCAGGAAATCACACTCAGTAGGAAATGAGATCATCCTAAACTGTGTTTAAAACTGTGGGTTTTTGTTTCCAGTCATGATTCACATATACTCCTCCTGCTTTGTCACTTCCTAGCACTATTTCCAGACCAGGCCCCATAAGCCAGATGATGACAACACTTGTTCATCAGGATGAGAGGAGGAATCCAAGGAACAGGGCAGAACTGCAGCTGGCAGCAAAGTGGTTTGCATTTTGGGCCCATTTTCTAGAGACAGGGGACAGAACTGACTGGCTCAACACAACAAGAGGACTTTCACAAGTGGGTCCTGAAAAGCAGCAGGCAGCTGCAACCAGTCCATGTCAGGACTTTGACTGATAACAGGACTGCATCCAAGCCACTCGCCTGTCTTTGGTTTCTTCTTCTGGCTTCTCCACACCTGCAGCATATCAAGGGAACCTATCAAGTACAAAGGGTTTCAACTGCAGCCATCAGCCAGGCATTTTTACTGCACCAGAGGTGAGGCAGTCAGTGCAAGACAAAGCTGAGACTTTGTTATGGTCTAGCTTCAGGGTCTGGCCATCACTATTTCAGCTGCAGCCATCAGCCAGGCATTTTGCACTGCACCAGAGGTGAGGCAGTCAGTGCAAGACAAAGCTGAGACTTTGTTATGGTCTAGCTTCAGGGTCTGGCCATCACTAAGGCACAGTCACAAGAACATCCTTGCCAATTTGTGTGTGTGAACAGCAAACAGAATTAACTCCTGAATGAAGTGGACTGTTGAAAGCATCCACTGGAAGGCCCCAGCAGAAGGCTTAAATCATCACCACTGCTGGTTTTTGTGTTTAATAATGTCTGTTGTTTCATTTACAGGATTACTAAAGTTTCCTTTAATAGGACCTGAAAAGCCTGGTTAAGCTGCTTTCTCTCACTCGTTTTGCCCAGATGCTGGCTTCCTGCCCTTCCTGTGTCAGCCATCCCAACAACCTGGTGCTGAGAGCACGGTAGCCACAGATCTCCTGTCTGCAAAATTCAAAAGCAGCTTCTTCATCCACCAAGGCAGGGATGGGAAGCGAAGGCAGAGCAAATGTTACACACTGAGGGAGGCAAACAGGAAGGTAAACCAATGGAGCATGTGAGAATAAAAACCCCTTCTTCTTGACATCAGTCAGCTCCATTACCTGTTTCTTTTTTGCCTTTGCAAGGACTGAGGTCAGCTCTAGAGCAATAACCAGTCCAAAAGAGACAGAAGAAGCCCCTGGAGAGCTCTCTCTTGCATGTGTTTGCTGGCTGAATCCCAATATTCTGTGGCCATGGAGCAGATGGCCAGAGCCAGTCCTCCAGGCTGCCAAAACTGATTCCTGTTTGCAGACAAACAACTGACAAGACTATCCCGCCTTTAGGAAGAACAGAACTCATGTGCAAGCTAAAAGGAGAGTTTGAGGATGCTCGTAAATCCCACCCTTGAAGGATGGATTTCTTTTGGACTCAAAAAGGATTTAAAAGAGTCTGCTCTTGATAAAAAACACTTAGGGGAAATTGGGACCAGATTTTTCTCAATGGAACATGAAGAGAAAACTCTAAGAAATCTGTATTCAAGGTAAAATCTGAAGAGAAACTAACAGGCAAACCTCTATTTCCCATAGGAATAGCTGATTAGTTTGGCTACTGCACAGGTATCAGCAATGCACAAACAGAAGAGTACAAGGCAAAAGGCAGGGAGTGACTTACATGTGCTCCAGCTCTCTTTGTGTATCTTCCAAAGAAATGCCCAGCAGCACACAGAGGCCTCGTCCTATTGAACTGATTTGTTCACCACCCACTGGAGAAAGCAGAGAGGAAAAAGAAAAATAAGGCTAAATGCACTGTCTTGTTTTATAGCACAAGTTAGGACGGTTTCAGCAGTCCAGCCACTAAAGAGAACAGCATTCTAAACCCTGTTTCCTCTGTCTTTACGTTTGTAGATTTGAAAGATCACATGGAAGCATTCTTTCAAAAGCTTTCCAATGCCACCACTTCTTTATCAGATTGGGTTACTTACTCCAGCATTTAAAAACACTGTATGAAGATTTTTATACTACCATTGAATCAGCTGTCCTAAACAGAAAGGTGGTAAAACTCTTCCCAGTCCTTGAAAAATTATCCACCTGGTTGATGCCACTAAGTGCACTCCATTTCTCTACTTCACCATTCCCTTCATACTTTGCCATTGTTTTTGAACAGGTGATTTCTGCCTGAGTCCTCATGGATTTTTTGAAACATGACTTTCAACAACCTGCAAATTAGACCCTCCTAACTGGGAAAACAACCTCTTTAATGACATTTACAATAAAACACAAACTAGCACAGATCTGTAGTGTTTTCCGAAGAAACGCCTTAAACTATCTTAATTTAAATAAATTATCTTAACGTGGTTTTACCCTGAGATTACTGTAGTAAGAATAAATGCCTGGTGCTGAGATAAGCACCAGTTACCCAGCTGCTAAAATTGCATCCAGGCTCATGACTGGGACAAAAAGCTCCAAACATCTCACAAAATGAAAAGAGATCAGGCCTCCAGTAAAAGCTGAAAGTGTCTGTGCACTAGTGGCTGGATTCAGGGTATGAGTCCTCCAGCCTAGAAATTTGTCCTGCTAAGTACAGCACCGTCCACCAAACTCTACAACAGCTGAAATTCTCCCCAGAAAAGTGGTACTAAGGCAGCAAGAACCCCCATGCCGACAGGGTGTGCCCAGCTGTGGTCACGGTGCCAGCTGTGCACAAAAGCTGTGCCCTCACAGACACGCTCTGCCCGTGCTCACAAACAGGCAGAAACTCTTCAATAACTTCCCACAGCAGGCACTCACTGCCTCACGGGCAAACTTCTTGGCGATTTGAAGCACCCTGAGCACAGAAGGTCCAAAGCAGTGCAATAGCAGGGACATTCCACCAGGACACACCGTCCCTGCCGGAACCGGGGCTAGACCCGGGCGAGCAGTGCCCGGCGGCAGCTGGGACAGCACCACTGACACACACAGGCTATGAAAAAAGATGAGCCAGGCTGCGCTGCCAGCATGCCGGCCATGCACGCAGGTGACTGTGACTGCAGGGCCAGCGCATGCAAGCCACGGGAGAGGGACACCGGGATGGCACCGCCACCACAGGCACGGCAATGCACGGCCGTGCCAGGGCAGCCCCGCTAGCACAGCACCAGGCGCTGTCACGGCACCGAGCCCAGGAAGCGTCTGGACAATGCTCCCCGGCACACGGTGGGACTCTCGGGCTGTCCTGTGCAGGGCTAACAGCTGGGCTCCATAGTCCCTGTGGGTCCCTTCCAACTCGGAATACTGTGTGATTCCGTGAACACGAGCGAAGCAAGACGACTGCGACTGTGCTGCCAACACAAAGGCGCTCGAGGAGGCGATGGCAGCGTGTCTGCCAGCCCACGCCCGCCAGGCAAGGCTGCACACAGAGCCCCACACACACCCCGCACACGCACCCACGGCGGCCGGGCCGCGGGGGAGCCGCGAACGAGCGGACCCACGGCGGGGACAAGGGGAGGGGAGCGCCCGCACACACCCGCACCCACGCCCAGACACCCACAGAGCCGCCCCGGCCCCCGCAGCTCCGCGGTCGGGACGCACTGACCTGTGACGCTGGCCTGGGCCACCCGCTGCACGATCGCCTTCATGGCGCAGCGCAGCGCGGCCGGCGCCGAGCGGGGACAGCGGCGGCGCCCGGCAGCAGCGGCGGCCGCGCCCCGCGCACAGCGCCCCCCGGCGCACGGGAGGTGCCGCCGCAGCCCCGGCACCGCCGCTCGGGGGATTCCATTCCATTCCATTCCGAGCGCCCGGACACGCACGGGACGTGTGTCCAGGTGCTCGGCCTTCCTCTTACTGCCTGTAGGGATTTGGGGGTGCCGTCCAAAAGGAGAATATGCACGTAAGCAGATTGGCATCCGCTATAGGAACAGCTATAGGGAGACAGAAGGGTGCCCATAAAAATGAGTAGCTGGGGGAGTGCTGGGGAAAAGGAGGTGGTGGCTGTAAGGACCTAAGGAGTCCATGTGGAAAGGTGGGTCTGTAGGTGCATGGGCTGGGTGGGGTTTGGGTTGTAAAAGCTCCTATAGAATCAAAGGTGTGGGCTGGAAGGGCAAGGACACTTGCACTAGGCCAGGTGGCTCTAGGTCTTATCCAAAACCTGGCCTTGAACACTTCCACAGCTGGGGCATCCAAATCCTCCCCAGGCAGCCTATTCCAGTGCCTCACCACTCTCACAGTTGAGAATTTCTCCTAATATCTAGCTAAATTTCCCCTCTCCTTATTTGTACCAACTCCTCCTTGTCATATCAGCACAGTTCCTGACAAAGTCTCCCTCCCCCTGCAGCATCCCTGCTGGGCTCCCTTCAGAAGGGAGGAAGGATCTGGAAGCTGAGGTGTGTGGGCAGAGGAGATGGAGACAGATTTCCAAACAGCAAGATGGAAACCTTAGATCCATCCCCTTGAGGGGCAGGGCAAGATGTGTCCTAAAAGGGCTGTAGGGAGAGCCCAGTAGAAACAGGGAAGGGATGTCCATAAGGACTAGGGAAAACCCTACAGAAGGAACATTAGTTCTGGCCACAGAGCTGAGGGACAGGACCCTACAAGGGGACATAGCGTGTGCAAGGATCAGGACAACCCCTAAAGAACAAGAGCCTGGAGCAGAACATTCAGTAAGATTTTAGCTTACAGAAACATTTCCACACTTGTAACTCATCTCTCAAGAGCTTTTATTTGAAGGACCATTAAGAACTCCGGTAACCAAAACATTAAACTACATTCCTTCCCATTTACTCATCATTCCTGAAGTATCCATTTCAGAGCTGCCCAGCTGAGGAGCCATCCCAGGTACAGCCTGGATCGCCTGGGTTTGTCCTGCTGGGAAAGCAACTTCACACCAGCGAGGCTGAGCTGCTGTTCCAGCAATGCAAGGGACAGTGCTCCAGCAGTGGGCCGGTGCCAGGCACCGGGATGATGTTCTCAGAGGTCCAGCACAACGTTCCAAGCTTCTGAACAGCTCACTTCTCAGAAGGAGGGTCATCATTAGGAACAAAGAATGATACCACACGCCTGAGCAGCTGAGTAAGAGGAGGCGGAACCTCTTTGTATGTTATTTCTGTTGTCACTGTCAATCCAAAAGGATATTCCCTAGTGTGTACTTCCTTGCGGACCCCTTGGTTTGCCTCAGGATCATTTTCATTCTCTAAGGAATAGAAAGAATGGTAAGTGGGGGGGGAAGACAAAAAAAAAAAAACAATAAAAATCTTTTATCCCTTTATCATGGCAGCCACATGGACATTCAGTATTCTTTTTGCTTTTCCTTCCATTCTGAGGATCAGATAGAAAAGATCTGTTAACCATAGCCAGAAAAACTGATTTAATGAGGTAAATCAGATACCTGCACTGGTACGGGACAATTATCAGTACTACAGTAGCAGTAACAACAGGTTTCCCAAGCTATCCACATCAAAGCTAGCCCAAGCAGCCCAGTGCAAAAATCCATTAATTCCATTATCTGACCACCCTCTCAGTAAAGAAATGCTTCCTCATGTCCAGCCTAACCCTCCCGCAGCACAGCTTCGAGCCATTCCCACAGCGCAAATAAAAGGAACAGGTTGGGAAGAGCCTAGTGCCCGTTTCTGTGACTTGAGACAGAGCACGACTTTCTCCCATCAATGCGGGATTTACCTCCCTTCAGGAGGGGCTGCCGGGGCGGGCCGGGCCGGGCGGACACCCGGGTCACTCAGCCCGAGCGGAGCCCGCGCTCCGGCAGCCGCACAGCCCGAAGTGCCCCGAGGGGCGGGCGGGCAACACCCCGCGTTACCGTCCCCCGACCGGGAAACGGCGAGACCGGGACTGGGGGACCCCGGCGCCTGCCCCGGGCAGCGAGGAGAAACCAGGACGATCCCGCTGCCGAGCTCTCCCTCACGCAAGCCCCGCCCCCGGGCAGGCCCCGCCCCGGACACGACGCGCGCCGCGCTGGCTGTCCCTCAGCGAAACCTCCCCACCCCCTGGCGGTGACCGCAGGCCCCGGTACCGGTACCGGTGCCGGTGCTGGCTTTCTCCAGGCGGCTGTAGTAGATGAGGCCGCCCAGCGTGGTCCAGGCGCCCAGCGAGTAGAGCAGCGCGGCCCTGGCGTTCCACACGGCGGCGCGCGCCGGCTTCATGGCCGCCCGCGCAGACGCGTGGGAGGCCCCGCCCCCTAAAGGGGCACGCGCGGGGGGCGGGGCAAAAGGAGCCAAGAGCCGCCCTTGGCACCAACAGCCGGATCTGGGAACAACACTAAGGAGCTGTGCTCCTACCCGGTTTTATTTTTCATTACTACAGCCCCCTGCTTGCTGGGAGACCTCTCAAGAATATTAAAAGTTAAGCTAAAGGCTGTCGAAATCTCTGTTGGCTAAAACAGCTTTCAACTCTAATTGGGATGTGTGGAAAATGCAGAGTGAACAGAATACAGACAAACAGCAATACAAATAAATTAGAAGGGAGAAGTAAAAAACTCTCCCTGAATGTTTATTTTGTGTAACAGTTAAAATCCCTAGTTCAAAAGAGAGGAAAGGAAATGTAAATAAATTGGTCCACTTCTGTCATCAACACGATCCATGTAAATTGTCTGCTGCTCCTGCTGCTCAGTCACGATGCACTTGAAACTGCCAGCTTTTTAAGGTGGTCCATGAATACCTGGAGACTCACATCATCTGTCAGGATTGGAGCTCCAGATTCCTGCAGAAGAAACAAAGTAATAACGAGCCTAAAATACTGTTGCTAACACAGGGGAAGAACTGAAAGCAAATCAAATGTCAGCACTCTCACCTAATTAAAACCCGCTAAAACCTTTTTCTCCTGCAAAAGCCAGATGCTACTATTTGGCAACAGCACTGACATTATCCTCTCATACAATCTGAACTGCTGCAGGGAAGTCTCTTCTTCCTAAAGCACTGGGAATTTTGCTGCCCAAAGCTCTACACAAACAAGGTAAGCAAAGAGGATAAAGTCTAGTATTCTCAGCTAAATTAGATGTGTATGTATCCATATGCTAGTTGCTTTTTCCAGCATCATGAAAAAGCATGACATCCAGGCTTGAAAACTCCATTCTGATCATCCAGTGCTGCCCACCAGTGCTTCCATGATAATGAACCAAAGACAAATGTAGCACTTTTTGTGGCCACTTGGTGAGACAGGATGGCCACTGCACACACAAACGTGTCCATGTGTATTTTACAGCATTCCCAAAGATGAGCAGCTCCTCCACTGCTTACCTGGCCCCAGGCATAGAGGTTATTGTGGGTCTGAGAAGGATTCACCTTAGACAGGAGGAACCGGGCCTATAAAGACAAAAAGAGGAGGAGTCTGGTAAAATGAGAGATCTGTCTGCTCCTTCAGGCTTCATCTCACCTTAGACGCATGGCCAGCAAAGTTCCTCTGCTTTTGCAAGGTACTAAGTTAACTTAAGCAGGTTTCAAGTCCAGAAATCCCTGCTCCACAGACAGTTTGTCTCCCAGGGGCACTGAGTATCCTGCTACAGCAGGCTGTGCTCGCCTGGCAGGGCAGCTCTGATTCCATGGGACAGGAATCCATGGCACAGGAAACACCAGCACTGTTCTTCTCCCCATGCTACACCTGCTCTTCCAAAAGGGGCTCAGTGCCAGACCAGTGCAACAGGGTCACAACAAAAATCAACACCAAATCTTTAGTTTGGAGCAGCAGTCCCTGCCTCTTCACTGCTACAAACAAGTACAGCAATTCCAGGAAGAGCGAAAGTAACAACAATTTTATATCCTCACTCAGTGGTTGAGAATGAAGATACAGATGGTCAGTCATTCAGCATTACTCTCCTAGCAAGCTAACTATAGGCACATAGCCAAATCATTTATTTCCCACCTTTTTACTGGGGAATAAAAACATATTTTAGTTGGCTTTTCCATTTTTTTCCACCCTCAGATTTCATAAGCATATCCAGCAAGTGATCAGCCTATTAGAAGACAGAGTTGTAGCAAAAGTTGATAAGAAAATATGCAAGCTCTGTACTTTGAAGAGCTAAACTGTGTTTGACTACCAGAACCTCTCAGAAAAGCAGAATGAGCCATTTGCTCTAGGCACCAACAGAATGAGTTCCTCCAGAAACTTCCTTACCTGACTGCCCCCGTGCTCAGTGTGGATGTAACGTGGCATTGGGAATCTGGTCTGCAAGATTTCCTGGGCATCATCCAGTGGGGCTTGCAGGAGGTGCTTAAAGTTTTCATATTCAGGCATGTCTTGGTATCCAGCTTTCTGCCACTGGGCAATAGTCTATTGATGGGACAGGGAGGAAATTAAAACGGAGCAGGGATGTCTACAAGCCTCCCCTTTTTACCCTGCATGTCTCAAGGCAGCAGAATGCTGCATGTGCTTCTGCTTGGGGCAAACACACACCTTCACTACTGTGCCTACAACATTACTTTCTGTCCCCAAATTTAAGCACAGGCACCCAACACAAAAGCTGGCAGCAATTTGTGCAGTGCCAGAGCAGTTTGTTGAAAATCTTCAATATGCTTCAGCCTGTGCCAACACAGAAATGAAGCATTTATAAATCACTGACATTTTGAATCTGACTTGGCCTTACAGTACTTTCAAGGTATCCATTGCATGCACCATATGTCTGCAGCAATTCCTCTATAAGTACATAGGTCAGACACTCAGCTCTTGTCTGGTTTTTAGCCAGTTACTGAATGTCCTGATCTGCAACAGAGGACAGAAACTCCTTAAGGTAACCCCACAAGATTTTTAGAAAGTATCTAAGCACTTCCCTCAGTCATGAGGAATATAGCATCAGCTTCCAAAACCATCCAGTATTTAAAAGCAAAAACTGGAAAACTGCCTAACTGATTTCTTGAAGAGCCACTGCACGTAAGTATTAAAACCCTGCAAGCAAAATTCTGTCACTCCTCTGAAAATACTTGCAACTCTGTCAAAATATGTATCCCTCTTGTTAACTCTGCCCTGCTTAATTTCCAGGTTCTCTGGCCTTTTCCAATGATGGTAAGGGACCACCTTCATGGCCAAGCTAACACAACAGCTGGCACTCAGTGCAGAACATATCCTTAGTGGTTCCAGTACTATTTTTACTCTGACAGTGGTGGGAATTGTATTCCAACAAGCAGCATGTACATGGCATGGTCATTATGCTGTGTGGGCTTTGCAAGAAGTTAATTTGTTCATATTTCATACTAGCAGCAAAGCTGTCTGCATGCATGGCAGGAGGGAAGGGGCACAAACACAGAAAGAGAATGTGTTTCACCATACCTCACCAAGGTAGATAACTATCTGGAAGAAAGTATCCATCAGTAGGATTCTGTCAGGAAGAATACTGCTGCTGTCCAAAAGCACTGGCTGGGGAAAATAAAGAACAAAGTCAGGCACCCCTATGCCCTCAGATCTCAGGATGCCAGAGAGTAACTTCTATGCCCATCCAATTTGATACGATCTTGAACAAAAGTATCTTGTCCTTTAATAATTTTCTTTTAAATCTACAAGGGCCTTTTGGCTGAAATAGTGTTATTTCAACTGAATATTCATTATTTTGAGTTGATTGACCTCTTCCTAGAAAACACAGACTCACCTCAGGAGGCCCATGGAAAGAATAAGCATAAAGGATGGGCTGGATCATAATGAGGGACTGGGTCAGATCCTGCCTGGCAAAGTGGTGCCGGTAATAGGAAGACTCATCTGGGCTGTTGTTGAAGACCTGCAGGAATGGGGAGCGGCGCAGGTGGAAGATGAACTGCACCAGAAAGAGGAGTGAGACAAGAAATGTCAGCCAAAGTCGCCAAGACATCTGGACCCAGTTCCAGTATTTTTGAACAGCAAATTCTTTGGGAGAAGTCTGCCCCTTAATAACTCCCCAGATTTCTTCTCTTACTGGTCTCTTGCAGTGCTGAACTACAGGATCAGTCCATTACATTAAAAAAGCACTTGTTCCTCCCCTCCTGAATCTGACAAATAGTGCAAGATGTTTTATCATCATTCCCACTCACCCCTGCACACTTTTCCCATGGCTGTGGGAAGTGACATTCTTACCTGAGGATACAAAGAAAATGATTCTGATAGCCTAAAGGAGTTGGGATCATCTTTGTTGTATTGTCCAAATTTCTGACACTGTTGGAAGCAAAATGGGTACTTTAGTTATCTCTCTCTTTTCTCTATTTTTTTCTTTTTTTTTTTTTTAATAGAATTTACATCTCTTTTTCTACAGGGTGTTCTTCTGCTAATTTTTAAACAAACAAGGCATGAACCTGACAAGAACAAACACTATAGCATTTACAGGCTATTTTTCTTTAAGTCAGTGGTTTCTCTGTTTTTCTGGAATGAGAATGAAGATTTAATCTATTTTGATATTTATATATATATTCATAAAGTCTAGATTTGAAATTATCAAAGAATGAAAGAAGTGGTGCCTCTACAGCACTACCCTTTTTTTTTCCATTAATTCAGGGCTATTACACCTAAACTGTTCTGTACCCTACGGAACACTTCTTGCAGAACAGCAGATCAGTATTTCACCATTTCACTGAAACTAAGTATCAGTGGTTTTAGAAATTAAACTCTAAATGATTGCACAGTCACTGCAGCAAACAGTTTGCTCCTGTTTGTGCTTGTGCTCCAATCTCTATTTGACTGGCCCTGGTTTTTAGGGTCTGATGTGCCATATTGTCTTAGTACCAAACCCACATGGTGTTTGGACAAGACCAGCACTGATTTAGACAATTTGGGCTTATGAAATTGAAAGCAAAAGACAGCAGGACGTTGCAGAATTAATTCAGGTTACTATCCTGAACTTGCCCACATCTGAATGCTGTGTCCAGCTTTGGGCTCTACATGGATATACTGGTCTAGCAGAGACCACCAAGTTAGTCAGGGGTTGGAGCATCTTATGAAGAAAATGAAGCTGAAGAAGATGGGTTCGTTCAGCCTGGTGAAGAGTGAGATCAGGGAGTCAGTTTGCTGTCTACCTGACTGGTAACTGGGGAAATGGAAATTCTGATTGAGAGATAGAGGCAGAGAAGAGAAAAAAAAAAAACAAAAACACAGTGACTGTGACCAGACACTGGAACAGGCTGTCAAGAGAAGCATAAGAAATCGCACCTTTGGAGATCTTCAAAACACAACTGAACAAGACTCGGAGCAAGCTGCTCTAACTTCAGAGCTGGTCCTGCTTTAAGCAGGAGGATTGAGCC